AAGGAGCTTGAACCCCAAAAAGGGGAACAATCTTATCTCCAAAACGACCCAAAACAGCTCACGCAACAACAAATATCACAAATAACCATATAAGTCTAAGAAGGGAGGTTTAGGACAAGTATTAACCTCCTAGACGAGTTCCCAACACAAAACAAATGGTCCTATCTCGAAGCCCCAAAAATTTGTAGCACTTAGCAACAAAAATCAGCTCAAGCGAAGCTAGAATGATCAGAAATTAACTTTACAAAGTTATAAAATGATTATGAAATTTATGCTAATCACAATATAGTAGGCTGGTTAAATGACCTCCACGATCTGGGATCTCATAGACGCGATTGCGGTGGCAATGGCCAGAACAACTCTGACCCTTCTCTGAGAACGCAGGACCAGCTAGTTCATGAACGACAAAGCGTGAGAAGCCCTACACAGTACGAATGATGTTTACACTATCAGTTTCTTTTTACCCACTTCTTAAATTTTTGTAGAACGGAAATTATAGACTTTTGTTATATGAAAATTTAAACTTATGTTGTACAAGATAATTCCATAATGCAAATAATTGTCAATAAATATTTTTGTAACTTTCGATGTTTTATTTCAATCATGTGTAGCAAGCGAATCATCAAGGTCTTACTACAAAGAAAGCATTGCTCCAATTTCGTAATGATCCCCCAAACACAACACTTGAGGTGACTTCTTATGTACCTATAGTTTATTTATTTTTTTCTTATGTTTTGTCGTATATAAATGATCTACTTTTGTTATATGAGTAGTTAAATATGTGTTGAATATGATAATGTAAAATTGAAGATCAATATTTATCATAACTGGCAAAACAAATAATGTAAAAATATTTGTCATAAAATGTACTTACAACTTTTGGTGTCATTATTTCACTTTATGGAAAGAAAAGTACGCAGGTATATTATTATATATGAAAAAATGTTCTTTCTACATACATAGTGTTCTGACAAATTTAGAAGCTTTGATAGTTTTTAATATGTCTATGACTGGTCATAGAATATTATATTCTAAAAATATACTTACAGAGTTGAGATTTTTTTTTGGATGGCAAGGTTATATATATTATATATAAACTAGGGAGTTTCCAGGTTTTGAGGCATCTCTGGCTCTACATTGTTGCTATAGTTGACCATTACTGCTAGTTCACCAAAACATGCTAGCTTATTACAAGTGGTCCTTATAACTTGTTTAGTAGATACCGCCCCTTGTTGATCATCCTAGACAAGACGGTGTTAGCTTGGTACCTAGTCTAGACAAATAGTCTATTACCTTGTTTGCTTGTCGGAAACTATGTCTGACTGGTGGATTCCCTAACCTCTTCATAAGCAACCTGTAAAGACTAATTTTGTTGTATAAATAGGTTGACAATTTTCAACGGAGTCTAGATTAATATCAATAGGGACAATGGAACAATCAACAACTAATTTTAAACCATCGAGAAGAGCTTCTATTTCAATGAATCGAGCCAATGGATAATGGGGAGATATGTGGGGTGGGGGATACCTACATCAAAATAGAACTTTTTATCTATTTAAAAATGGAGGAAGATGTGGAATATAGTTTCATCCTCTCGTCTATAGATAGTGCAAATGGATTCTGAGATAATGCAAAAGTGGTGCAAGTAGGGGTTGGTAGGAAGTCACGCACAACCAAAGGAAAGTTTTGAATTTGTTTGGATTTTTTTGCTTCCAAATCCAGCTATGATGAAACGGGTTGGGAAGGGATTGTTTCATAATATGTAGGACGGATTTGGTGGTGAACAAACTATTTGGGTTGCCCTTCCAGTAGTGCTTGTCGTTGTTCAAAGGATCAAGGCCTAATCTAATGAATTTTACTTTTTCCATGATATTCTGAGGGACGTGATCCCAAATAGAAGAAATAGTAGCATTTTCATATTTCAATGTAAGGGGACCTTGAACTATTTGTCTTAAGGGAGGGGTATTCAAGATCCATCTATGGTACCAAAGCCTAATATATCTACCATTATTTGGGGACCAAGCTATATTATTTGAGCAAATAGATTTCCGAGTAAGGAAATTAAGTAAGCTTGTACACACTATTATTTTACTCTTCACTATTTGTCCTTTTTTCCACTTTCCCTCCACTACATAATTAGTGGATATAGTTGTATATTTTTAGCCGAAAGAGTTTTCAAATAATTTGGTTGGTTAATTTTGAATTAAATTATTTTTTATATTTTGGCGGAACACAAATGATCAATCCTAATTCTTAGTGAAATATTTGTCAATAAATAGCTAACAATCCTGATTTTACTATGTAGTAAAATAATTATGAAGGTGTTACTCTAGAGGATACATCGTTCCAACACCACATGTCAGTGTTGCTTTCTTCATTATCATCGTCACCACCATTTCTTTCGTTGTTAGAGCTGACAGCAGCACCAAGTCAGAGTTCTAGTGTTTAATATATGAATTGAGCAACTTTGTATAGTGCTTCCTACAACCCCACATCTAGTGCATAGTTTATCACACACACCAATAGGGACCTCCACGCATATATGGGCAAAACATCCTCACAGTGTCTCAACTGTACATACATCTGTGAAAAATAAAAATGATTTTTTGGAATTACAAAAATCCTAGACTTTTAGGGAAGTTTCTTGAATAATTTAGTGTAGTCACTTGGATAAGTATCTTGTATAAATAAGTAGATAATCTAGAGTAGAAGATAATGTTACAAGACTTTTCTTGTAGATATTCTTGAGAAATTAGATATGTATAGAGAATCATGGAATATTCTAAATTTTGTAGTATATAGAACCATCCATAGGTTAGTATAAATATGAGTATATTTGTAAAAACAAGCCCAAGAAAAACTCAAATAAAAGAGTCTCTTTTATAAACAAGTTTTCTTTTCTAGCTTCCTCTTCCTTGGTTGGATCTTCTGATATTAGTTAACGATCTTGGGCTAGCAAAAGACTTTCTGAATTATATTTTTCTTTTGTTATTCTCTACATGGTATCAGAATCATAGTCATTCGTTGAATTTTGGATTTTATTCAAGATCGGGTTAGGTAGATTCATCTAGGTTGTCCATATGGATTCTAGCGGTCATGTTAGTATAATGGATTGGGGATGGAGTTGTTGAATCAGTCTAATCACAAGGTATGAAAAAATATATGAAATCATACCTTGTGGGCGAGGATTTGTGGGATGTTGTGAATGAGAATAACACAATTTCTCATGCTGAAGGACCGGGAAATAGTAGCATATACAATCTCCTCCGATTTATTTTATCACATTATAAAGTAAAAATCAACTCATGAAATATGGAGGACCCTCGATCGTTTTTTCATAAAGGAAAATAAAGCTTGACTATAGATAGTGAAGAATGAATTAGCTAACACCACTGAAGGTACTCTTTCTATGTCTAGTATTTTTTAAAGATTAAGAACTTATGTCGTAGATATATTTATTGAATTCGGAGGAGGCTATTTCTGAAGCACAAATAAGAAGTATAATCCTTAGTGGGTTGAAATCTGAATATATTTTATTTGTGACGTTAATTCAAGGATGAAATCAACAACTATCCTTGAAGGAATTTGAAAATTTGTTGTCGTCATAGGAATCACTAGCCAAGAAGTTCGATAGTGTGTTTTATGGAGAATGAGATGCTCTTATAGCCGCCAAGAGAAACTATAACGGAAAAATAAGAGATATGTCACACTCTAGATCCTTAGGTGGTTCACACTCACCTAGAGAGAAGGAAGAGCCTTCTAAATATTATGGTAAGAAGCCTCTCAGATGTTATCGTTGTGGCGAAGCTAGGCACATAAAAAGATATAGACGAGCCATATGGCTAAAAAAGTTGTTGAAAAAGAAGAAGAATGGGGAAAGTTTTTAGTATAGTTGAGGCTCTAGCAACTATGGTTTCTATCAACCTTGAAAGAGATTGGATCGAGGATCCAGAATATAATGTAGTTGCCCATGTGGAGAAGCAAGACGCGGATGTAATTGATATGAAGCAAGAAACTCTTGAAGATGTTTATACTGGTGATATGGTCGCTTTCATCGAAGAAATAAAGGAAGTAAATTCAGAACAAGCAACGCCTGGAGCTATATATACCAATGGTGATCTTTATGGAGAAAGTATTGACAAAGATATATGGGAAGTTGATGTCTTTGATCAATCCTTAGCTATATCGAGGCCAGTCATTGACTCAGATCAAATATTGGAAGCAAATGGAGAAAATGTTGATCAAATATATGGAGAAGCTGACCCTGAAGACCAAATTTCAGGTGAAGCGATAGACGGTATAAATTTCCAAAGCTCAAAAGATGTTAAGTAGGTAATTGAAGAGCACAGAAGGAAATTTAATGGTGTATCCTACTATGATGCCGAGGCTTCACAAGAAATAGATGAAAATATCATCACCGATTGAGATGAAGAGGATATTAATAATGAAATCCCTCAATATATTGAATTGCATCAAAATAAACATTTTCTAAAATTTTGAGCATCGCAGTTTCAAACTTTTTCATTTAAGATTTATCTCCAAATAGTACAACTGCAAGAAATCTAAATTTAAGAAGAAGTTTGAGAACTCAATACGGAGATAATCTACGTGGATCAACTTACAATGAAAAATCTTTATCATTTGGAGAAGGAAGAGGAGTCCGGAAGATATTGTTGAGAATTTTTACCTAGACGTGACTCAAAGCTTCATTTGATCTCTTCCACGACAAGTGTGGGGTAGTTTCCAAAAAATCACTTTAAGGGGGAGTGTGAAAAATAAAGATACTTTTTTGGAATTACAAAAATCCTAGATTATTAGGGAAGTTTCTAGAATAATCTAGTGTAGTCACTTAGATAAATATCTTGTAGAAATATCTAGAGTAATTATATATTTATAGAAAATCATGGAATAGTCTAGATTTTATAGTATGTAGAACCATCCATAGTTAAGTATAAATATGGGATGATATTGTACATTTGTAAAAAAAAAAACACCAAAGAACAACCCAAATAAAAGTGTCTTCTTTCATAAGCAAGTTATGTTTTCTAGGTTAACGATTTGGGGCTAACAAAAGGCTTCCCGAATTGTACTTTTCTTCTGCTATTCTCTACTGTGTTTACTAACCTACCAAGCCTACCTCGGCTAGGATTGTGTGGTCGTAAAATTCCATTTGTAGCTCGAAGTCTATCCACATTGCAGATTTCATTTATTACTCATGGCTCTAAATCTTGTTGGTTTTCCTCCACTGTCATTTCTATTTAAGATAGTTTAATATTGAAAATCAAAATTATGCAATAACTTGCGAATGTTTTGAAAACTAATTTTCATAAAATATGCTTACTTCTTATATTGTCTTATTTCACTGTGTAGAAAGAATAGGATAAAGCTATTAACACTGAAGAGGAAATACCAGTTCAACTCCGTAATGCTCCCTCAACTAAGGCATCCGAGGTTGTTTTTTATGTATCTCTTCCTCTTTTTCTTTTTTTTTAATCATAGAGAAATATGTTATGAAAAGTATTTAATCTTCTGAAAGTATGCCATTTCAACCTTCCCATTAGTGAGGGATTTATCAGTAGTCTCTAAACACACGATGAAAAAAGTCGAACGAACATGTTGTTAACTACTGGATCCATCAAGATTTACTCCCATTTCTACTTATCCTTATGGTAAATTGGTAACCATATCTCAAATAAAAGAGTATTCTTCCATAAACAAGTTATGTTTTCTAGGTTAATGATTTGGGGCTAGCAAAAGGTTTCCCGAATTATACTTTTCTTCTGCTATTATCTACTGTCTTTATTAACCTACCAAGTTTTTCCGCTACCCCGGCTAGGATTGTGTGGTCGTAAAATTCCTCTGGAAGTCTAATCCACATTGCCGATTTCATTCATTACTCATGGCTCTAAATCTTGTTGGTTTTCCTCCATTGTCATTTCTATTTAAGATGGTTTAATATTGAAAATCAAAATTATACAATAACTTGCAAATGTATAATGTGAAAACTTATTTTCATAAAATATGCTTACAACTTATATTATCTTATTTCGCTGTGCAAAAAGAACAGGATAAAGCTATTAATACTGAAAAGGAAATGTTGGTTCATGTCAGTAATGCTCCCTCAACTAAGGCATCCGAGGTTGTTTGTCATATATCTCTTCCTCTTCTTTTATCATAGCGAAATATGTTATGAAAGTATTTAATCTTCTGAAAGTATGTTATTTCTGCACTGTGAACAAAGTCTAACGAACATGTTGTTAACTACTGGATCCATCAAGGTTTACTTCCATTTGTACTTATCCTTATGGTAAATTGGTAATCATATCTCAATTAACAACAAACATGTCTAACATCTCAATATCATATTAAGTTGAAGACTTGTCTCATATGCAAGTTCAAAACATTCGGTAACACATTGACTTTATTACTCATTGTACTGCAATCGAACTACCAGACTCGTCATTTGATCAATGTACAATCACATCATATTGATCTCCTTTCTTATTTCACTGTGCAGAATGAAAAAGGTAAATATATTGCTACTGGCACTGCAGAGGAAAGACCGGTGCATAAACTGAAAAGGGTAACATATTGATCTCTTTTTTTAATTATTATTTTTTATCGTAGAGAAATATGTTGTAAAAATATTTACTAGTTTTCTCTTTATAATTTTTCAGCCGGGAAGTGTTGAGCATTTGTGGGTAAAGAATTATTATTCGTTCCCTTCGACTGCTTATCGGAAGAATGAGAGATTCTAATTCAAACATACAAGGAAGATCTATGGGGTCTATTGGTTTATGTTCCTTTTATTTATCTTATTGGCGTTCAATCTCTAAGGCGGGTTTTCCGCTGAGAACGGAATAGTGTTTGTGGTTCGCTATCAGTACTTGTTTTAGAGAGACAAATGCAATTTCGGGGTCTTTCCCTAGACCTCATTATATTTTATGGTTTCTGCAATATGTTTTACTCCTAGTACCTTTATGTTTGGTTTTGAATTGGAATTATTCTTTTCAGTATCATTGAATTGGAATTAAAATATTTTGTGTTTTTTGGTGGACTACTACTACTCTTCTTTTTCTCCGTTTAAGATTGGCTTTCAGTTTGGTTGTAGTGTGTGTCTGTCGGCACAATGGAATGTGTAACCCCCTGCTATTTCATTCAACAACATTTGTTCCTTTAATTCATAGAACACAACAGCGAGGTCTTGTTCTGGCAAAGATAAATTTAGTCTATATATTCTGCTCATAAAGCTGCCTTTACTCTCCTTCATAATTTCCATCGGTCTGACTACTGCTTTGTTCCACAATGCTCCATTTCGTGCTTGCCAAATATGATATATTAGAGCTGCTATTATTGCTCGGATAAGTGCTCTGCTGATCTTGCTAGTTGCCTCCATTCCCTGTGGTTAGTTCTTTGTCCCATCCATTAAGCATTTCACTGAATACTCATATTCAAAGAAGAGACGTTCCTATACTTTCTGGTTTGCACCCTCACTCTGCAAGTTTCTTAATGTATTCGAGATCCTATAAATTTAAGAATTTTTTGTAATTTTAAAAAATAATAGTTATAGAATATAACTAGCTCTTAACACTATGAAATTTATGCAATCTTTTGCTTTTTTAAAAAAAAGCGGTCTTGTTTTTATGGCCTAATACTGCAAATCTACTTGGATAGAGTATAGAACAAATTTACTTAATTTTGAGTTGATACATTTCGAGATACATGTATCTGGACGTATCAAAATCTGGTAAGATTCATAATATTACAACATGGTGTTCCTAAACAGATATATTTTTATGAAAAAATAATATACTATCTCATAAAAGTCTTTGTTAAGAATTTTCAAGTTACACTAGGGTTATTTAACGATCCTTTCATGCATTATGATAGGTATGAAAGAAAAACTAAATTTAAAAAGGGACGTTCTTTGATGAATAAATGAAAAATTTACCTTGTCAGTGTTTGATAATGTCATTTTTCTACCTACTTTCACACACGAAGGATACACATATATAAATCAATTATCCAACCATAGGTTATCTTTCAACTCTGACTATATCAATTAATAACTGTGACTAAATCAATTAATGATACGTCGTTAAATTTTTGAAAATTCAGTTCTAACCAATAATGTAACTCTATGGCGGAAAAGTAAAAAAATAATATCAAGTAGTTTTGATGATTCAATTAATCTTATTATTACTTGAGGTAATTATAAGTTACTTCGACTGAAGTTCTTTTTAATAAATATATGTAAATAATAAATTTTGAACTTAATAAATTAAATAAAACTATAATTAAAAAAATTATATTTTTTTATAAAATTCTAATCATGAATCCGTCTCTGAAAATGATTGAAAAGGCGATAAAGAAATGAGATTGTTTCACAGTATGTCATATAAGAAACTTACATTGTTTATTGTTTCTTGTTGAGACTTCTAATCTCATTATTAATTAGAAAACGTACGACTTCAAATTAATTCAGCTGATATGCTGCTATCAAACATCATATATATTTCCGTCTCAAATAAATTGCATGTTTTGGTTTATTAAATTTTAATTTGAGTTATTCTTAAATTAAAATTAAATAAAATCAACTTAATTCTCTTATTTAGAATTTAAATACTTCAAATTTATACGACAAAGTAGTGAAAGCTACAACCATTCTCATATTATTTTGATTCTCAAAAAAGTAAAACATGACAATTAATATGAATTCGAAAGTGAGTGCTTAATTAATTTCTCTGCTCTTTCTATACACACATGCCTATAGTTTTACAAACTCTATTTAACCAATCACTAAATAGAGAAGAAACCTTAATACAAATCTACATATATCACCAACAATCTTAGTTTTTTTTATAAACACATAAATTTTATTGGTATCTGACTATTCTTGTAATTTTAAAAATCTTATAATGATATGATATATTTATAGCTATTCGTATAGTGATATGTTTAAGAGTACAAATTTTACAAAGTCTTATAATTATACCATATATTCATAATCACAAATTTAAAAAGAATTTATGTCCTTTTTAAGCTCCATGTTATTTTAAATTAAAACTATATAAGTATTATATTTGCAATTTCCCACTTTCATTGCCAATTAGTTGAACTATAAAAAGTACTAATGTACTATATTTGCTATTGTAAAAACTCTATTATGTGTGTGGGGTGGGGGTGGGGGGTGAAAATGAGTGTAATATATATTATCACTATCAATGTGTATAAATTATTTTTTATTCAACCAAATGTCTATATTAAAATTAGTGACAGTGAATGATGTAGCTTATTTATTCAAGGGCTAGAAACATTCAAGGGCTACACTAGTCTTTTTTTTCATTGTTTGGAGTAATTGTTAGTAAAAAAAATATTTTTGAGTTAAAAACGTAACGAGTTAAAAGATTGATCTATATCGACTAATTCAAACGGAATTATTCTTTATATATCAAATATCATTAATTACTTGTTTAAGATAAACTCCCAAATCTTAACCACCTTTTGGACCAAATTATAATAATGCCTTGTTCTCACCAATCCTAATTATATTATAACCAACCAACTTGAACCTTTTAGATATGGATTAATTTTTTTAACTAAAGAAATATTTAAGACTTGTTTATTATTTATTATTTTGAAATATTGTTATATATTTTGATATGTTGTTTGTTATTCATATTTATTATCAGTATACTTAAACTTATAACTATAATACAATTATCTACTTTATTTGTCTTGTCACACTTTTTATGAATAATTTTAATCCCACTTAACTACATTAGTCAGTAAAAAATAAATATTTATAATATCAATCTATATTAATTTGATACAATCAAAATAAAACTACAATAGATATATAATATATTCGATACAACATTGAGAAGCTAAGTAACTCATTTGGTGAGATTCCTATTTTTCATTTTGAGTAATGTAGTATTCTCTTTTTATTACCTCTCTCCTATCGATTGCCTCTAAAAACATATTTTCTATTTAAAATTCATAATACAAACTTTAATTTTTTTTATGATTGGTTACTTATAATCATCTAAAAACTTTATTTGATAATATAAAAATTCTTTTACTCTATAAATATAACCATCTCATCTATCAATCCATCACTCTAATATATCGATAATCTTTTACACTTCATATCCACAACCCCCCCCCCCCCACACCCTAAAGAGATGAATTCAAAGAAAAACTTCAATGTGAAAGTGCACAAGAGTGAAGTAGTGGCAGCAGTGTTGCCAATGCAAGAACATTGGCTACCATTATCTAATCTTGATTTGCTCTTACCTCCATTGGAGGTCGGAGTTATGTTCTGCTATCTAAATCCCATTATTGTTTCGGAGAAAATTAATATGAATTTAGAATTTAACTCAATCGTTAAAATACTCAAAACATCTTTGGCTGAAACATTAGTTTCTTACTATGCATTTTCTGGAGATATAGTTGAAAATTCAGCCGGAGAACTGGAGATTCTTTGCAATAATGGTGGTGTTTCTTTTATTGAAGCTTTTGGTGCTGTTGAGCTTAAAGAGATTAATTTTTATAATCCAGATGAAAGCATTGAGGGAAAATTTGTTCCTAAAAAGAAGCATGGTGTTCTTGCTATTCAGGTATTAATAATTATGTGTAAAACAATTTCTCCCTATTTATTCCATGCATGTGACTTAGTGAATATCCCAACATATAAATAGAACAATAACAATATATTCAGTAATCAATTTAATCTTATATGAAAAGAATAAGGTATAATACGCAGACCTTAACTTTATTTGTGTGAGGTGCTGAAGAGGGTAATTATTTCTGATATATATATCCAAGACTTTTCCGAAACATGATTTAAAAATATTTATTAATCGTTGAGGTGTGTGACCAATGTGATTTTAAAACTTCCTTGACAAGCGTAAAGGTGGATGTACGATTCGGGTTATGGATTTGACAAAACTAAGTAATTGTTTAGTTTGATTTAAATCTTGTATTTGCCTAAAAAATGGGTTTAATGTATAAATTATTAAGTTAAAATATAGTTACTTCAAACTACTAAAATCTTACATCCATAAACGTCAAATCATGAACTTACCACTTCATATAAGGGTTTTGATTCTCTTTAAGAGGCAAACACGCAAAAAAAATTATAATAGTGATGCTGTAATTCGAATTCGTATAATACTTCTGTCTGCTTTAATACCACTTAAAGTGTGTGACTATCTTCATCATCGAATAACATAAGTTGTTACTCTCCCGGTTAATTTCACTTGTCCAGTTTGAACTTTGTATACCCTAATAAACAATAATCAACATTAATCCATATCAATTGGTGTTTAGTCATCGGTCTGATATATGATTTGATGTTGAGAGTAAAATAGGAAGAAAATAATTTTTTTTTATATGTTAAAAGTGACAAGTAAAAGTGATTTTTGTTTTAAACTAGTGGACAAATAAAAATGCGTGGAAGGAGTATATATTAAACATATTTTATTAGCATAATACATAAATATGTCCTTTAATTTAGGTATGCATAAGTAGACACTTAAATTTGCATAGAACTAAACGAATAGACACGTGTCCTATTTGACATCGCACATGACAATTTTACGTCCTACATGGTGTCGTGTGCATATTATGCCACATAGGACTCACATGTCTACTTGCTCCATTTTATACGAGTTAAAGTATCGTCTACTTGTATACACCCAAAGATAGAAGGTACTTAAATGTGAAACAAAGTCAAATTAAAGGACTTATTTATGTGTTCCGTCATTTATTTACTTAACTAATCATGTTTTCAACAAAAATACTCTCTCTTGATTGTTCAGAAAATAATCAATAAGTTTTAAAAAATAAATTCAATTTTTCAAAATTTGTGATATTAAATATATAAAAGACGGTATATTTTTTAAACAGACTAAAATAAAAATATTTATGAGACGTAAATTAAGATTAAGGAGGTATAACTCTTCTGCTAGAGCAATATAAAAATAGACAACTCCATAATCTAACTTTGTCCTTTTGTTTATTTATTTAATTCC